AACTTTGTAAGCAACAAATAGGACTTTGTTAGCTTGTGCAATGATGCAATTATAAGTGCACTAGCCTTCCCACCCACAATACGAATCTGATTTCAGAAACAAAAAATTCACCACTAAAGTAGTATGTTATCACAGTACCAAGTTCTTTAAGTTCTTTAAATCCTTTGCTTGGATTTGAAACTTTGAAAGTGTGGAGGGAAGAGTGAAGAGGAAAGGAAAACAAATTGAATTACGAAGTAGCCGTATAATAATTTTAATCATACTGGGCACATAACCAAAGTCTTAACAAAAGATTATTCTTTGACCCAATAATTCTGCTATTAGGAACTTATCCTAAGAGTGTGCAAAAAACCTTATCTTCAGGAAATAATATTTCTTATAGCCTTGCTCATAAAAAGCAAATTTTTAAAAAAGCAAAAATTGTTGTATAATATTGGGCAACTAGTTAAATAAAACTCATTCATTCATATCAGTAGAGTATGCCATTCAGAATAATGCTTATTTAGAAGTATGTCTACTGACACAGAAAATGTTCATTCTGTATTTTGTTTTGTTTTGTTTTTTTGCAGTACGCGGGCGTCTCACTGTTGTGGCCTCTCCCATTGCGGAGCAACAGGCTCCGGACGCGCAGGCTCAGCAGCCATGGCTCACGGGCCCAGCCGCTCCGCAGCACGTGGGATCCTCCCAGACCGGGGCATGAACCCGTGTCCCCTGCATCGGCAGGCGGACTCTCAACCACTGCGCCACCAGGGAAGCCCCCTCATGCTGTATTTTTAATTTCAAAATGCAAGTTACAAAAGTGCATGTGTAGTATAACCCTTACCATGTTTACTCTAACCCCTACACATACACACACACCCTACACCTTCTTTGTCCCTCTTCCTGTTCTTAATGTTCTTCACATCACGCACCATCACCAGATATACAGTAACCTGTTGGTTATGGCCTATCTCCCCCAACTAGAACAAAGTAAACCTCAGGAAAAGAGGGGCTTGTTCTGTTCACCTCTGTGCCCACAATGCCTCACACTGTGTCAGGCACATGGTAGACAAGTAACAAATAGGACCAAAGAAATAAATATAAGTATATGTGCATATGTGTATAGAAAGAGACACAAGATACTGAAAGGTATTCCCAAAATTATTAATAGCGGTTATGGCTGGGTAGTAAAAATACACACACTTTTATATTCTTCTTTACACTGATGTATAGTTTCTCACTTTTATACAAAGAACTTCAAAAAAAAAAGATATAACCCCTTTTCATATATGCTTGTGTGCATTTGTATGCATGTGTGTGTGTGTATGGCATGCATGTATATATTTTGACACTTGTATTTGGTTATCTAGTAAGAATATCCTTCATTCCTCAAATTGCCAAAATAGACAATAGAAAAAAATGAAACACTATTTTATTCTCTACTTCAGATGAAATACGGGACAAGTGGTTTAAAAAAAAACACACAATAAATTTATTTTTACTTTTTACCACACACTTTCATTAAACCACATAACAAGCATATAAAATCAGATAGTATAAATCCTTAATCAACCGTTCCTTATTTCATGATAAAAAGTTTTTGTTTTATGAATTACATGTAGTATTTTGCAATTATGGTGGAAAATAACAATTTCACAGGTACCACAATAGGTGTCCTATTGTTTTATTTTACAATCTTAAAACTAGCAATTACTCCACAAGGCAGCAAAACTGGATCACAGTGTTCTCATTGGTGTGAAAGCAGAATTGCCATCAAGAGACACACCTGGTAAATGGATCAAATCAAGAGCATCAGAGGCATTTGGAGAGCATCCTTGAAATAAATTGGACGGCCTTAACATTATAAAGCATCTATTTGGGGGGGCTTAAAAGGTAACATATTTCCTGGGCAACCTTCAATGTTTCTATTTTACTTTCTTATAAGTAATACAAAACTTCATAATCAATAAACTTTTAAGAATCCACTTTTAAGAATCCACAGAGTGTGTAAAAAAAATTGTCAATTACAAAGATGATACTTGTCAACTAACACTACAAAACAAAGTTCATATAAAAAGATGATACATGCAAATACAGGTCTCCATGTGAAGCAGAAGTTTATACTAATGCTGTGCTTCAAAAACAGGATGGGGGATACTTCTCCCTGGGGAAGTGCTGAGGGAGTTTGTGAATTGGTCATAACACCAAAACCCCCTTTGGCCCTCTAGCACTTGAGGCCCCACATAAGTCTGCTCTCAGCCGTTCTTCTCTCATTTGCTTGCTTCTTAAATGTTTCCTTTCATTCACTATCCGTAAAGTATCAGGTGAGTATTCTATAAAAGAAGTGTTTTCTTTGCCTTTATTAATCTCACTATGATATTTAACTCTGAAAAAAAAGTATGATTGAATTTTGTAAATAAATTTATCTTTTTTTTTTACTCTAGACCAGAGGTTGGCAAAGTACAGCCCGTGGACCAATCTGGCCTGCCATCCATCTGCTTTTATAGAGCCCATGAGCTAAGTTTGGTTTCTACACTTTCGAATGGTTGAAAAAAATCAAAAGGATAATATTTCATCACACATGATAATTATATGAAATTCAACTTTTGGTGTTCATGAATACAGTTTTGTTAGGACACAGCCACCACACACATTCATTTAGGTATTGTCTGTGGCTATTTTGTGCTACAACACTAAAGAGTCGCAGTAAAAAGTGTGGAGCCCATAGTCAAAAATACCTTCTGGCCTTTTTCAGTAAAAGTATGCTGACCTCTATTCTAATCTGTATGATAGCAACACATAACATAGATCGTAGACTCCTATTAGATCACTTTATGTATACTATTTGAAAGAACTGGGTAATTCACATAGGAAAATCTGCATATCATCTGTGTATCATCATCTATCTACCGACCTAGCTTGGTAAAAACTTAGACGAAAAGTCTGGAAGAAAACTCACCAAACTGCTAATGATGGTCACTTCTAATGAAGAGAGAGAGTGGAATTGAATAAAATATTTGCTTTTTACTCACCTATATTGTTTTATTCTAGCAAGGAGGTACTACTTTTGTGTTAAAAAAAGGAAAAGAAAGAAACAAATTTCAAGGGGAACTTTTCACATACCAAATATTGACCTTTCAAAACAGGATAAAATTAAACAGTTGAAATGTCAAAAAAAAATAAAAAGATTTTCAAGAGTTTCTTAACTGTGTGATCATTTAGAATTTGTACACTCAACGCAAAGGGCATCTTAACCATGAAAAACATGTGAAATGTAATCCAGTTATGTCATACTAATTTTTAAAAGTAGAGTAGCTACTTTTAAAGTGCACATATTTTGAAAAGGCAAACATTGTTCAGAAACAAATGATGAAACAGGTAATACAGACTATACATTATTAGAGACTATAGCTTTATTGAGTCACCTATAAAGAAAAAGTACATTTAAATATTTTCAATTTCCATCTCTCTCTCTCCAAGCTATCAGCTGAAACTAATTCATTGCACGCCTAATAAAGAAATACTGATTCATAACTCTTGATTAAAAATTTTTTTCCCAAAATATATCATAAGGAACATGAAAATCATGCAGCCATATGCTCAAGCACACAATATTTTCACTGTTTCTTACTTTTAAATGGACACAAAATCTTCCAGAGACCAGACAGTGCATCCAGACGGGCATGACGCAGTAGAGCCTCACTTGAACCACCACATTTATAATTCAATTCCTGCACATTTATAAACGCTGGCTTTTAAAGTGCAAGCCCAACGGTCCCTTTAACTACACTTAGATGCACAACAATTGACAGCTCATTATGACAAGTGGTCTCAAGAGTAAACTATTACAGTTAATGGTCTGTAAATGCTTTAGTCTCCAAACCTGGGCCAACATTAAAGCAAGCAAAACTGGGCCTTTCCTTAAATGCATCTGGTTTTTAAATGCCTGTATGATATAACATTACTCAAAATTAATCTCCCTATTTCTAATTCCTGAAATACTACACATTTAAATCAAGAGTACACACCTAATTAACCTTATGGGTTTTTTTTTTAAAGAAATACACTATAATATGCCAATTTGTAAGTATCTACATCTTGAAGAGGAATAGAAATGATTTTAAAGCAATGGAACAAAACTACCTAACTATCCAATAATAGAATATTCCTGAAATGTTATAGTCCTTCGTGATTTAAAAGTATACAACCATTACAGCTATGTTTAATACAAAATTATGTAGGAAGTAATCACAATGCAATGTTAAGAGAAAACAAACAGGATAAAAATCGTATGTCCAATATAATCCTAATTTTATAAAAAATAGAATAGATGTTATATGGGACATATAACATTAAGTTATAGTGATTTTTTTTTGTGGGTGGTAGAATAATGGTGATCTTCATTTTTATGTTTTCTTGAATTTTTGAATTTATCTACAATAAGCACCATTTTTACAATTAGAAAATTTTTTTAAATAAAAATAATGTTCCTTTGTGTCTATTCCTGTTAGTATACATGAAAAATTACCACTAGAGATTAATCTGGTTAGTCTGCGAATCTGGGAGATTCAAGAATACATTTCATGTTTAATTTTATCTTCAAGGGCAAACACTGGCCCCAAAATGAAACATTTAAATAAGTAACATTTCTAATAGCCCTGGGGAAAACAAAGTGGACAGGAATGCTGCCAGTAATAATTAAAATTGAAAACTAATATTTTGTAACTATTCTTGTCAAGTTTTCGACCTAACAGACATAAATTCTGTGTCAGGAATAAACCTTAAATATGATCAACTTAATATAAGTAACTGGAAAAAACTGAAATAATTAGCATCATTACAAACATGGCTTTTCTAAGACTGATGTCCTTTAACCTCATTGGTCAGAGCTGCCTGTTTTGGACACATTTCATTCAAAACTCTGCATTAAAGTGCTGTTTCCACTGGAGACATCTTTGCCTTCCACAGGAAAACAAAACAACTCTCCAGAAAGAATTTCAGAACATTCTAGCAGCAGACTCTGTAACAGTGTGTTCAACACCAGATGACTTGTCCTAGGAAATTATAAACAAACCACTTCCTACACTTCCACCAGATAGTAGCTGCCTGGGCTTTGGAAACAGGCATCATGACTGGCACGATTAAAGCTAAAGGGAAGAGAACCAGCAGGAACCGTTCACGGAAATGATGAGAAACTAGGCCAAAGACCAGGGAGCAGGTGGACGGACACATGACAGCAGCCCAGAGCCCTGTGGAGAAGCCAGAAGCCGGGAGAGAATCTGATAATTGTGGGTGGTGGTTACTAAGCAAAAACAAACAAAAAAACAAACAGCGAAGCGCATTTACGGAGGAAGGGGGGAAATGGATGAAAAGGTCCAAGCCAAGGAGTATGGAAGCTGAAGAAGCTTTGCTCACTAGTTAAAAGAATGCCAAGCGCTCAATGGATGCTTCGCAGGGAGCGGGGACAAAAAGGTAGGCTGATGCCATGCTGCCTTCTGGAAACTGACAGGCAGGGTCTCAGATGATGAGTGGATGAATCACCACAAAGAGAAAAGCTTCGAGAACTTTCAGGGAGAGAGAGAGAGAAAGAGAGAGAGAGAGAGAGAGGCAGGGGCTGCACAGGTGGGGGGCCCAGGTGTAGGGGGGTGCTCCTTCTGCTTGGGGTTTGGGGGAGGCAGACAAGGCGAGGAGGGGTGGAGGCATCCCCCCTCGCAGGAGCCTGGCTCTCAGTGAGGACTTTATTCCCAGGCAATGCGAAACCACGGAAGACGACAGCGGAGAGCTGTGGGATCCGTCCCCAGGAGAAGGATGAGTGAGGTGAGCTTGGGATGAGGGAGGGCAGGAGAATGGGGGAGGGCAGGAGAATGGGGGGAACCAGTAAGGGAGCAAACGACACTCTGCAGGTGAGAAATAACACTGATTCTGAAAATGGAGCCAAGAGGATGGAGGTGAGAGAGATTTGGGAACTGGAATGGGGAGCACCTGGCAATTACTGGCTTTGAGGAGGGATGGAAAGGCAGATGGCAAGTGGATGCTGAGAGAGAGAAAGGAAGAGCTTAGAAAAGGAGCGTGTTAAGGGAGTTCAGATGAAATGGGATTGAAACAAGATGTTCAAAGGGGGTCTTGAATCCCTCCTAAGGCCTCCCTTTTAATCTAAGTTCTGCATTATCAATCGATAACAGAGGCTGCATACAGTAGGCCTGCTCGCTCGCATCCATCGTGCACGTCAGCCTTCACAAAAGGAGAGCATGGAGGGTGTCCTTCTTGGGGCAGTGCCCACAGCTCTGTGGCCGGGGCAAGAATAATTAGCACAGATACCAGCGGCAGACAGCCTTCCAAAGTACATTGCTGAAGGAAAGAGGAGCCGCCAGGTCATGTGTCTGCCCATCTGGCATCACCCCACTCTCAACAGTGTCTGCAAAAACACCCTGGACTTCTTAGAGGTACATCATCTGATCTCCCTAACAGGCTGTCATGTGCTGAAAGATTAAGGAACAGAATTCTTACATTGCCTAAGGCAGCAGCATGGTTTGCGTTTTAAAAATTGGTTCCGTGGCAAAGAAATCTCCTTTGGAAACATTACAAGAAGAGCTATAAAACTTACTACGGTGAGTAAACACTAGCAGATGGATGCTAGCGAATCTTTATCTTCAACTCATTATGCAGACATTAACCTTGACAAATTAATAAAGGTGAACTAATAAACTTGTGGGCTTATATACTTTAAATAGTTCCAAATCACAGAGAATGTATAGAGATAGATGTTGATGAAAGCATTTAAATAAGCTCTTTTTCTTCCTTCTTAAAACTATACAGTAAAATAGCTACTGAGTGACTAGGTTTGTTTTTTTTTTTTCTCTCCTTTTTACTCTGTCAGGGAGACTAAGATAGGTTCCAAGCTATTAAACTCTCCGTGATGTACAAGTCATCATCATAATTGGGGGCACACTTTCTTTTGACCTTTACAAAACTTTCATTTCCCAAATGTGACAGATAAGGAGTGCTTTTATAGCACCAATAATGATTTTTTCCTATGGGAACTCACCAATTATAAGCTGAAAACGAAGGAAAGACCATACTGGATACACATTTAGAATCTCAATGCGCCCAAAATATAGCTGAAATACTTAAGAATCATGCTTAGAGGACAGTTCAGGTGAGTTAAGAATCCAGCCTAGAGAAATACATGTTGAAACAGTGCAAGGGCAAAGACACACTCCCTGAGCACCTTACCATAATGCTAAGTACCCTGAAATGTGTTCAATAAAAAGTGGCAGGATGATCCACAATTACTTCTGCAACTATAAAGTCTGAATCTAAGTTTTTAAATATTAATAAAAGTTAGAGTGTGGAAATGTAATCCATGATACACTTAGCTGTTTCATCCACACACACAACCTACAAGAGCGTCAATAGAATCAAGTTCTTACCAACTCACCAGACATCAGACATCTTAAGGACCTTGTCTTATTCACCTCAGGCTCCAGTGCCTAGTATGAAGCATAGCGGGTGACACAACTGAAATTGTTTGGGTACCACAATAGTGTTTCAGTAAGGGACATGTGCTTTCCTTGAACAATAAATCACCCTTTATGGAAACTTGATTTTACTTTTAATTTGACTCAGGTTTTCATTACTTACACACACTAAAGTTAAATTCATTCATTCATTCATTCATTCACTTGTTCATCCATTCAGCAAATATTTATTGATTTCTTCCTGTGTGTCAGGCACTGTTCTACCCTCCACTATTCCACATAGTAGCCACCAGCTACCACATGTGGCCACATGTGGCCAGTGAGCATTGGAAATGCGGCCAGCCCAATCTGAGATGTGCTTATGTGTAAATTACGTCTTAACCCAAAAAAACAAAAAGAATGTAAAATACCTCATTGATAACTTTTATACTGATTACATGCAGAAATATATTTTAGATATACTGGGTTAAAAAAGTGTTATGAATATTAACTTGACCTTTTTCCTTTTGCTTTTTTAATATGCTACTAGAAATTTTGGTATATGATGAGAATCAAGACTTTAGACAAAGCCCTATTTCCAAGGACCTGATATTCTAGTGGAAGAAATCCATGGTAAACAAAAAAATAACTAATAAGCAATATTATGTAATTTCAGATAATGAAAAATATATGAAGAAAATAGGGCAGAGTAAGAGGAAGGAGAGTGATTAAAAAGGGATATTTTAGACAGGGTAGCCATGGAGGTCTCTGGGGAGGTGACATTTGAGCAGGAAACATGAATGAGAAGAAGAGATAGTCATACAAAGATCCGGGGAGTGTCCACGGCAGGGGGAACAGCAAGTGCAAAGGCCCTGAGGTGGAATGACGTATGAAAGTCTGAACAATAGCACCAAGACTGGTGTGGCTGGGGCACAGTGGCAACAATGGGAGAGGAGGGTAGACGGGAGCAAGGGGCCAGGATACAGAAGTCTGGTGACAAGTTTACACCCACAGAACCATTATATTCCACATGATTCAAGTCAAAAATTCCTTTCAGATTTTTCATGGAACTGGACAAGCTGTTTCTTTAAATTCATTCAGTAAGTAAAGGGACCAAGAATAGGCAAGATCTTAACCTACCAAATACCCAGTTACTATGAGACTATAGTGAGGGATGAAATAGAGTGAGGCAAGTGAGGTAGAGCCTAAGGGTAAACGTCCCCATAAATCCTGTGACCTGGGTGCCTTGTGTGCCTCACCCTCTTCTTAGCAACGTGACACTGGCTTTAGGATAGATGAAACAAAACTAACAGAGTGGAACTGAGCAGTCAAAACATGTCCAGACGTGTAAATGTCTAGAATATACAACAGTACTGTATGTGTGCATATATACACACATATATAATTATACATATACACACTATGTATATGTATGTGTGTATATACATGTGTGTATGTGTATATGTATAACGTATATGTGTATTTGTATGTGCATATGTATAACATGTCTGTATGTGTATACACACATCCCATACATACCCACATATGTACATGAGTCAAGAGTATAAAAATATAAATGGAAAAGAAAAATAGCACCCTAAGGAGAGGAGTTACTTCTAGGAAGTGAGAGAAAGAGAGTGGACTGAGGGGAATTGGGCACTGATATATTCAAAATTTTTAATTCTCTTTCATAAAAGATGTGAAGCCCTAAACAAACACACACACAAGTGGAGCACAACATTGGAAATGCTAATTTTGTAATTTTGAGTGAGGAAGGATACAAAATGGTATATATAGTGACATTTTTAACTATAAATATGTGTGGTCCACATGGGGTATTGGAAATGCACAAAAATGATATTGGTTATTGTTAATAGGAGTTCCAAACTCCTGTTACATTACTTTACAAGTCGTATTTAATGTTTAGTAAAGAAAACACACTCTAAATCAGAAAAAGACCAGATTTAGAGCTTAAAATTATAGTTAATACATAATTCAGGGTAAATTTTATCAATGCGGGACAGCAACATGTGTCTGCAAGTATTACCTAGGATGAAGGAGAGTCCAGCCAATAATTCAAATAACTGAATAAGTTCACTTAATTACACTACAGTTACATATTAATTATACTGTAAGTTTTGAAATTCTTCTATTATTCATATAGCACTAGGGTATGAAGGTGTTTTTATTATTAAATAAGTTGTAATTTGGGGGGAATTGTATTTGTATTATGCCTGGAAATACCAATTTACCTAATTTTTTACAAGAATGTTCACACTTCGATTTCTTTGAGAACCATCAGGCACTGTTGTGGTTTTGATTTATTAATTGAAGTTTTTAAAAATGCATAAAATAAGATTTATGGAAATTTTAAAGTAGTCCATAGACTCATTGCCTCTGCATAGGAACTAACGTTTAGAATAAGGTTCACTACTCAAAATAAAAAAGGAGCTAGAGCAGAAAAATACATAAAGTCCTTCACCTTTCTTCAAACGAAATAAGGTCCACATAGGATACTATTTGCAGAAGGAAATGCCTCAGCAAGTATGACAGTAAGGGAGAGGCCAGTGAGGCCAGTATTGTGTGAAGTTCACAGTCAGTCAGGGTGGATTTGTGGCCAAACGTCAGCGACCAAAGGCTGGTGTCTCAGCTCACCTTCTCCAGGTAACCGTCCCTTTAATGTGAGGTCAATCAAGGCCATCAGAAGGAATCCAGTCCTTTCACAGCAGCATTCTTGGACAGGAAGAAATGTCATTACTCGGGCATCTCAGAAAACTATGTTAATTCTCCCCGAGTGCCACAAAATGGTTCCAGAAAGCGGCCTTTAACTGGGGAAGCAAGCAGCCGAAACACGCAGTGAGGATTCCGGTTGACATCAGGAGAAGGCCTGTGCCACGCAGGCCTGTGAAAATCTCCACCGGCCACTGCTCTAAGCTGCTCCTCTGTGATGCACAAACAGGACTTGATACTCTTCCTCCCCTGTCTCAGCTCGCCTGAAAGTCATCACTCATTCATTTCCTCGCTGAATAGGAGAGGGAGAAAGAGGAAGGCTGAGAGTCTGCAACCAACTTCAGTTTTAGTATTTACCACCTCCTTGTAGTGCAGTGAGCTCAGAATAAGCGATCATTACCCTCCCTGACACAGTCAATACGCACCCTCACCTCTGACCCTCCAGCTGTACTGTTTCTTTCATTTTCTAACTTTCCCTTCAAATGCTACACAAGTTGGTCACTGCTTAGCTCAAAACTCAACAATCCGGTTATCCCGTGTTCCCTTCTCTGCCCCCAGCATCTGCACTACCCATCTGAACATCTTATGAAGCACAGTCCTCGGTCAAGCCCAGATCACCAGAAATCTGAGCCTGCAACGGGAGTAAGCCCTCCAGATAAGGAAGACATCACATCTTGAGCAAAAGTCACGTTGTGAGCTTGATTCCAGCCCTCCCCCTAGTCACCTGCCACAGGCCACGTGATGCAATGCTGCTGTGTCCCCTGATTCCATCTGTCTGGCATTCTATTAACAGGGACCCCCAACGACTAGAATTCCACATTAATACAACATTGATAATGACCCAGGGTCACAAAGTTGCTCAAATGAAATTTTAATTATTTTGGTAGTACTTTAGCAGTCTGGTGTGTTAGATTATTTAGCGATTTCACAACTTGGGTTATTATACAACAAATAAAATTTAATATTTTAACAATTGTGGTTATTAGAAAGCAAATTCTCCACAAAGGTAATTAAAGTGTCTCTAGTAATATGTGATTTTCCCCAATACACCAATTCCCTGACTTTCCTGACCAAGATACAGATGTTTATAAGGATGTCCCACCTAGGGCATATCTGAAGAAAATAATAAAATTATACACTTTACACAGATGACAACAAGCAACCTTAGAATGGAGACTACACACCTGCCTGCACTCTGCACAGCCAGAACGTGAAGTTCCCTTTCCCAATTGCCAGTGAGGACCTCAAAGAATGTTCTCCTGGAGGGCTGCCAGGGTTTTGTATTGGTATCTGAGGGAGCATTCTGGGAGGTGCCCATGAGCTAAAGCAGCAGAGAATTCCAACTTGCAAACATTTCAGGCGTTTTAATTTTTATTACAATTTAAACTATGTAAGCACAGCCCTCAGGAAAAGGAAAACTTGATGATCAAACCTTTTTTCCACTTTAATGACTCCATTAATTTATTCTTCCAACTACAATCAGATGGCATCTTGCATGCACACATATATATGATATTCAAGGCACACGGGACCAAGACTCTCTGTCCCCCACACTGTGCATTTCAAACCTTATAATGTCTCATTTTAGCTACTTTAGGGAGCTGGCATGAGGCTTTTCAGCAGCCCGAGTCTGCCGCAAGACCTGTCTTGGTGGGAAGGAGAAAACCTTATACTTAGCATGCTGAGAAGCCGATTTTAAAAAAAAGAGGAAATTGTTATAATTACAGTGAGAGCTTTTGCATGCAAATTCAGTTTTCCTTGGGGGAAATTTGCATACTCTACAAGGAATCCCCATGCCAAAAGTAAACGCAAAGCTTTTTAGCTCCAGTCTTTAAAAGCGAAGCACATGGCCAGGAATTGCATAGTCTGTGAATGTGTTCCAGGCCCGGCCCAGATATGCTGTTTATAAAAGAAAGGACTTTACAATGCAGTTTATAATATTTAAAAGGTACAACATTTATGCTGCAAGAGGTGACAGTTATCAATCAGGCTGAGACAACCAATAAAGAGTAGGACAGTGTTTCAACAGGGCTCCAAAACTTACCTAAACCCTTTTTCATAAAGATAAATACATTTTAAAAGATTCATTTCTCCTCTGATTCTTTTTTTTTTAACATCTTTATTGGAGTATAGTTGCTTTACAACGGTGTGCTAGTTTCTGCTGTATAACAAAGTGAATCAGCTATACGTATACATATATCCCCATATCTCCTCCCTCATGCATCTCCCTCCCACCCTCCCAATCCCACCCCCCTAGGTGGTCACAAAACACTGAGCTGATCTCCCTGTGCTATGCAGCTTCTTCCCACTAGCTAGCTATTTTACATTTGGTAGTGTATATATGTCCATGTCACTCTCTCACTTCATCCCAGCTTACCCTTCCCCCTCTCCGTGTCCTCAAGCCCATTCTCTACGTCTGCATGTTTATTCCTATCCTGGGCCCTAGGTTCTTCAGAACCGTTTTTTTTTTTTTTTAGATTCCATATATATGTGTTAGCATGCGGTATTTGTTTTTCTCTTCCTGACTTACTTCACTCTGTATGACAGTCTCAAGGTCCATTCATTTCACTACAAATAACTCAATTTCATTTCTTTTTATGGCTGAGTAATATTGCATTGTATATATGTACCACATCTTCCTTATCCGTTCATCCGATGATGGACACTTAGGTTGCTTCCATGTCCTGGCTATCGTAAATAGAGCTGCAATGAACATATTGCTACACGACTCTTTTTGAATTATAGTTTTCTCAGGGTATATGCCCAGTAGTGGGGTTGCTGGGTTGTACGGTAGTTCTATTTTTAGTTTTCTAAGGAACCTCCATACTGTTCTCCATAGTGGCTGTATCAATTTACATTCCCACCAACAGTGCAAGAGGGTTCCCTTTTCTCCACACCCTCTCCAGCATTTAGTGTTTGTAGATTTTTTGATGATGGCCATTCTGATCAGTGTGAGATGATATCTCATTGTAGTTTTGATTTGCATTTCTCTAATGATTAGTGATGTTGAGCATCCTTTCATGTGTTTGTTGGCAATCTGTATATCTTCTCTGGAGAAATGTCTATTTAGGTCTTTTGCCCATTTTTGGATTGGATTGTTTGTTTTTTTGATATTGAGAGACATGAGCTGCTTGTATATTTTGGAGATTAATCCTTTGTCAGTTGCTTCATTTGCAAATATTTTCTCCCATTCTGAGGGTTGTCCTTTCATTTTGTTTATGGTTTCCTTGGCTGTGCAAAAGCTTTCAAATTTCATTAGATCCCATTTGTTTATTTTTGTTTTTATTTCCATTTCTCTAGGAGGTGGGTCAAAAAGGATCTTGCTGTGATTTATGTCATAGAGTGTTCTGCCTATGTTTGCCTCTAAGAGTTTTATAGTGTCTGGCCTTACATTTAGGTCTTTAAACCATTCTGAGTTTATTTTTGTATACGGTGTTAGGGAGTGTTTTAATTTCATTCTTTTATATGTAGCTGTCCAGTTTTCCCAGCACCACTTATTGAAGAGGCTGTCTTCTCCATTGTATATTCTTGACTCCTTTATCAAAGATAAGGTGACCATATGTGCATGGGTTTATCTCTGGGCTTTCTATCCTGTTCCATTGATCTATATTTCTGGTTTTCTGCCAGTACCATACTGTCTTGATTACTGTAACTTTGTAGTACAGTCCAAAGTCAGTCTCCTCTGATTCTTAACACTTCCAACTACACAATAAAAAAATAGTCACAGTTGTTGTTAAATGCTAAGATTCAAGGATATTTTTGTGATAAAGGAAATAAAGAATGGGTGAAGGGAACAAATGGAAACCCATTTGTATTGATAATTTGGGCTAAACTCGAGGCAAATATGTGTCTCCCTGTAACTGTAGAAAAATATTTTAGATAATCAACCATGGAGAAAAGGTACTAGTAATACTAGTAAAGGTATTGGTGACCTTTAGGAAACATTAAATACACATTTCTGGGCTTCCCTGGTGGCGCAGTGGTTGAGAGTCCGCCTGCTGATGCAGGGGACATGGGTTCGTGCCCCGGTCCAGGAAGATCCCACGTGCCGCAGAGCGGCTAGGCCCGTGAGCCATGGCCGCTGAGCCTGCATGTCTGGAGCCTGTGCTCCGCAACGGGAGAGGCCTCAACAGTGAGATGCCCGCGTACCACAAAAAAAAAAAAAAAATTCTATTTTGTAGTGGAAAAGAGACTGGGGAAGGCAATAAACTACTCTAAATCAAAGCAGTCATTTCTATATGGAAGAAAAGCCAATCTGGGAGAATTACCCAGAACCATCTATTCTTCCCAAAGAGGCTATTTTTACAATACAATAAATAAGACGCTATTCTTAAATGAACTGCCCCAACAGGAGAAAATGAGCCATTTGCATTAAAAGCAGCCTATTTTCATCAGGACTTCCCAAAGCAAACAAGTTAGTCTTGGCTTCGGGAACTGTGAATCCACATGCTTCAACAACAGTAGTCCAAAATTAAAGTTTTGTTCAGAGTGGGTGGGTGGAAGGCAAAACCAAAAGGAGTATAAACACTTTATACCTCAGAACCTTTCAAGACAATCACCAAGGGCTGAAATGATCTTTCACCTGGGTTAGGCCCCAGCTTTCTACACAGAATCTTTATACATGAACATTTTGAAAAATCACAAGGAGGGAAAGCAATCTGGAGGAAAAAAAATTTTTAAGTGCAAAACATTCATACTATGTTAAGTGTAGAAAGCAGGTTACAAAAACATGAAAACTCAATTTTACAAAACGAACAGAAACAGAAGGTGATGCTCAGTACCGGCTGCAGGACACACCTGTGCAGTGTTAGCAGGTGCACTGTCAAGTTGGGGCTGTGCCCAGTTAGTACTTCCAGGGTTGTCCCCGCCATTCCTGCCTGGTGGAAGAGAGTCCTGAGGGGGTCCACCCTGGGGAGGGCATGTATGACAAAGCTAAGTCTAACATGATTCAACCTGGCATTTTCCAAACACATGTGACCATGGAAAGTTTTTTTGTTTTTTTTTCCCCAGAACATCTATTAACATTCTTGCCAGCTCCCCTTGGAAACAGTTTGTTAAACACAAAAGGACTTAGTACTTACTAAATACATGTAGATCTAGAGAAAAAGACTAAAATACCAAGTGTGGTGACCTGTGGGTTGTGAGACTTCAGGGTATAATACTTTCCCAAATTTTCTACAACACACGTGTATTACTTTCATCGTTCAAAAAAAAAAAAAATGCAATGTCATAGGATGATGAAAGTGCTACACTGTTCCACTTCATTTTAAACCATTCACTGATGAAAAGTACATTTGGTACTTGGAATGCCAATATACTAACTTGGAGAAAAGGAGAAAGATCGGGCAATCTGTAGATTGCCATGTGTACACCAGCTATAAAAGAACTGTGGTCCGCTTAAACACCACTCTCAGGTTTCTGGTGTCCTATGAAAATAAATGAAGCAGGGAGTCCAGCCCTGGCGGGAGATGAAGGGGAACGTTTGTGCCTCTAATTTCCTGTTTATTCTCTCAGATGCCAACCATTGCACTCAGCCATTGGGAGAAATTTTAAACGTGTAGCGATAATCTAAACACTGTTCTGTTTATTTCCCCCACAAAAAATAGTGTAAATAGAAGAGAAATCATATCTTGAGAGACATTTCTATGTATGTGTGACAATAATGCCTATATTAGTAACAATGGAAAGACATTTACATTCCATGTTTTAGAGACCCAAGTTTTGTTGAAATAAATGCTCACTGGTGTAAATAATCTTTTCAAACAAAAATACATTTTTTTGCCTATCTTCAACTATAATGTTTACTGAAAAACTTTTTTAAAATACCACAATTTCAAGCAAAAGAGTTGAAAAGTGTACATTAGCCTTGATAGTGGACTCATTTTTTAGGCTGGGTTTCAAAATGTTCTATATATCAACACACAGCAAAAATTAGTTAAATGCTGTTGAGTAAAATATCCATTTATTAAAAATAGAAAAGCTGCTAAGCTTCTCTGTTGAAATTTGTCCATAAACTTGAATAATGGATGCACAGAACATACAACCTGGAAACAAGAGGTAAGCCTGCCCCTCCACACCCATCACTCCTAATACCGAGGCCTACACTGGTTGAATGGCCCGTTGAAGGTCACACTGATAGGGCAACATGAAGCCAGAGGACGATTTCCAGAAGACTAAGGTCTTGGAGCCATAACTGAGAACTCTTTGGGCTAATTAAGACAATAACTGCATCTCAGCTCTGACAAGAACAAAGAGATAATATTTATGTGAGAAAGAACTAAGTGCATCTATGGCTGGCACACAAATCTTTCCCTTCACTTTAACTTGTTCTGCCTGTTTTCCAAATAACTCTTGGCTAAGGCCAAAAAAATCCTCCTGTTATTTTATCTGAACCCAGCTTTCACAATTTGATAAGCACTAGAATATGTGCATTGTGTGTGTGCTGCAGTTGGGGGTGGGGCGGGTAGGGGAGTTTTCAAAATGTTTATTAAATCAGGAAGCAATCATTTTTGTCTGTTACCAAAAAAAAAAATCATTCTATTTCCCAAACTTATACAGTCAGACCCCACATGAATTCCCTACCAGTGAAAATGGTCAGATTTCCCCTTCCAAATAGTAACATATATTTTATTGAAATATCATTGATTTACAATTAAAATTACATTTTAGAGTTTTATTTTAATATTTTATCAATCTTTTCTAGAGAAAGTAACCAAAAATGTGGTCATTTTTTAATCAAATCAATGCCTAGAGAAGAAAATCTGGCACAACTACTGTCACTTTTTTAGTAGCATCATTTTATGAATTTTTATTGTATTCAGCCTCAGAGACATGAATTCATACCTCTTTCCCTGAAGGGGATCACGGCATATTGTTTTAAGTACCAGGAAAACTATTCGTCTATGACAAATGTACACCTTTCAAATCTATTCAAGCTAAAGCTATTGTTAAAGGCAACTAACACTTTTCTGGTGTCATATTTCTGGAGACTCAACAAAGTTTACCAGGCACCTGGTTTCTACTCCCTATACATCATACATCTCCCACAACCAGCAGCTTCAAGCAATCTTTTGATCCTCCTAGGTTTTCCATTTCTAACTTCTCCTTTCTCTCTCTCTCTCTCTCTCTCTCTCTCTCTCTCTCTCTCTCTC